TATAGAAAAAACATACTAACACTCTAAAAGCACTNAGGAGAATAGTAAATAGAAATGTAAATCGTAAACGAAAAAATTTTACACAAGAAATCATAGACAGGACTTCAAGGATCACAAATGTGATTAACATAAAAATACCTAACAAAATATAGCAAAGACTACATAAAAAATTAATTAACAGAAGTCAAAAAAAAATTACTATAGAAAAAACATACTAACACTCTAAAAGCACTTACAAATTAGAAATGACTAAAAGTGCAATTTACAGAGTTCACATAAACAAATTCATTTAATAAAAATATATTCATGATCAATGAATAAACAAGAATAGAAAATTTTCTAACCAGCAACATTCTGAAACTTATCCAATCAAAACCCCAATACATCAAGGGTTTGCATATAAGATAAAAGATTCATGTCTGGACCTCTACAATCTAAACCCAAAGAAGCATATGAAAAAGTATAAAATTTCAANCCTTTAATAAAAATATATTCATGATCAATGAATAAACAAGAATAGAAAATTTTCTAACCAGTAACATTCTGAAACTTATCCAATCAAAACCCCAATACATCAAGGGTTTGCATATAAGATAAAAGATTCATGTCTGGACCTCTACAATCTAAACCCAAAGAAGCATATGAAAAAGTATAAAATTTCAACCAATTAATAATGGCACTTGCAATCCAACTCTATTTTGAGAATCCTCTCAGAATGCATGTAAAGAGAGTCGGTTATTCCAAGAAAACATAGACCCCCTACGTTTTAAAAGTGAAGACATAGATTTTCAGAAGAGAGAATGGACTATTAAGAGAGCAAGCAAAAAAATCTCCAAACTAGAACTTATTCAAATTACGGGTGTAACTTGGGTGAGTTGAGAAGACTGAGAAGTTGATGTAATTTTTAATTTCATTTATCATCTTTTGGGTTCACTGTTTTTTTTTTTTGGATAGAATTTATCAATTTTTAGATAAATTGTAAAGAATGGGTCTTTTAAGGACGTCTATTAACTTACAGTCAAACAACCTCAAACCTATTTGTTAAATTTTGTAAAAGAGCGATTGGAATCGATTTAAACATTAATACTCTATAATCAAATTTATTAAACTTAATTTTTCATTACTCATATTTTATTATATCATTATAAATAAAAATTGTATGTTCTAAAAATTCGTTATTCTAATTATAAAAAAAGAGATTTAAAAAAATAGTTAAAGTTGGGTACCCCATCAAAAAAAAAAAAAGAAAAGGTTAATGTACTATGTACTATGTTTTTGGGTATTTTTAAATGTATCATGTTTTTGAGATTTATCAAATTTTAGGGTTAAAAAATTAAGTGTCTTTTTTCTTTGTATTTTCATTATTCACTTACCTTTACAAAAATAATTCAATTTTATTACTCATCAACTTTGTATTTCAAATAAATTTAATAATAAATTAATGAACTAAATTCTTTTCACGTGCAACGCACGTGTGCATTGCTAGTATATATAAATGTTTAAAATAACGCGATCATGAAAATTTTGGANATAAATTAATGAACTAAATTCTTTTCACGTGCAACGCACGTGTGCATTGCTAGTATATATAAATGTTTAAAATAACGCGATCATGAAAATTTTGGACCACAATCTCTAGTGGGTACTTGTTACGTATACCGTTGGATCACAATCTAATGGTCACTAAATAAAAATACTTAAAATTAATTGTCAAGACATACCTAATTTAGTTCTTAACTAAATTGGAAATGTCTATAATTTATTAATTATAATCTAGTCCTATAAGGAAAGCTTTATTTAATTTTTTGAAATTCAATATAAGAAATATTTTGACCATTTTGCATATGTTAGATGGATTGACCCACTATGTGAGTTCAATTGGGGTACACCATTGTTGGGTAGGTCTTTCTAATTTTTTTGGTTAAATTACCAATTTATCCTCTATNGGATTGACCCACTATGTGAGTTCAATTGGGGTACACCATTGTTGGGTAGGTCTTTCTAATTTTTTTGGTTAAATTACCAATTTATCCTCTATTTGGGGGGGGGGGGGTATTATAATACTAGTTTGTCCTCTTAATAGACCGAGCTTTATAGATAATGAGGGAGATTAGTTAATCTTTTTCTCTTTTAACTTTCTAATCAACCCAATTAGAAGTGTTTATTAAGTTTAAAATTAGGATTGCATATCAGAAATCATTGTGATCATTCTTTTATTTTTAAACCCAACATGAGAAAAATGTTGTGAACCTCATCTCCATTGCCATCATTCTTTTATTACCGCCTATGTCATCGTTAGAAAAGTATTTGTTCCAGTTGCAAATTAAGAAAAAAAAACATATTATTTTTGCATTATTATGGATGAGTTTGGGTTAGAGCGATAAGGAATCATATAATAAACATGATAGAATTAAAAAAAAAAATGATTTCTCATTCTAATATCTATTTATGTTTAATACAATCTAAAAAATCTTAGATCTGTGGAAAAGATTAAGAGTTACTTCTTGAAACATATTTTTAACAATCTTTAAGTTTTCACAAAATNTACTTTTTTTTTTTTTTTTTTTTTTTTTGTCATAAATCTTATATGTTCAAGCATACCCAGTTGTAGACTTTCGATACTAAGTACCACATCAAATTAAAACTCTTTCTAATTTAACTCAAATTAGTACTCTTTTGATTCTTCCTTTATGAAGAAAAATTAATATATTTATATTAATTTCATTATTCGAGCTTCTATTAATTATGAGTGACACCTAACAGTATCACTAGGGGTAACCCGTGTTGAAAAGCAAAGTACAATATAAATGGTTTTAAGAGGAATATTAGTAGCTATTGGATGAGTCTATTTAAGACCACTAGATGTGCTTATTGAAATTTTCTTTGTTTTATAGTATAGATAGATGATCAATTTTTGGATAGTGCGAAGTAGACAAAGAACTCATTTTGTCTACGACGGTCATGTAATTCAATTTTTCTATAACACAATACCTCTAATTGAATTACTATAGTATGAAATTACTATCAAACCCTTTACTATATGAACAAACCCTTGGGATAGAACAGTAATATATAGAAGTGCCCAGAGAGGTAAGGGTAACAAACACTCACATATAGAAAAAGATATTAACAAAATCTAATCCAAAGCGAATTTGGAAAGTTTAATTGCCCCATGCGTGCGTAATTCACTAGAAGTTGTACAGTTAAGAATCTTGTTTTAATCAAAATTTTTTAATCAAAAAAATAAATTAATAAAATACATACTTTATTATGTATAAATATCTTTACATTCATGCATATATACTATTGTACGTGCTATTAAATTTAAAAAAAGAATATAACTCTGATGGTGCTCGGATTTCACAGCCCAAGCCCAATAGGTTAGATGGTGGAGTTCTAGATGGGTTAGGTGGGTTGTTAATTGATTAATAATGAATAACAAAATGAGAAATATAAGTAGTTCATCTTAACCAATGGACTGAGGCTACACCCACTACCAAGGGAGTATTCTGCTCCTTTTTAACGTTTATTGTTTGGTCAGAGATGCACATACAACGATTGAGAACACGGAGTCCTTCACAAAGGGTGAGTGTTTAGCTATGTCTATTGGTTTTCCTTGGCTTGCCAATACTTATGGGCGCAGGAAGGGTGTGCTTCTTGCGGGGTTACCCTTTTCTATTTATACCAAGCTCTCTTTTAGGGTTTTTAGTTGTTCTTCTCTTAATGCCGACCTTACGAGTCCTTCTCTCTGCACCTTGTTACTGCCTCTGTCACTATAATCACTGTTCATCGGACGCCTCTNCTTCTCTTAATGCCGACCTTACGAGTCCTTCTCTCTGCACCTTGTTACTGCCTCTGTCACTATAATCACTGTTCATCGGACGCCTCTATTGCCACGTCCTCTAGTGACGAGGTGCTCTACATTCTCTGCTCTAAGACTGCCGTAGGTGTTAGGAGTGGTCCCCAAACCCTTAGGATGCGTGGTCCCCATGAGTGACCCAAAAATGACGTTTGGACTAGACTTTNTGTTGCCACGTCCTCTAGTGACGAGGTGCTCTACATTCTCTGCTCTAAGACTGCCATAGATGTTAGGAGTGGTCCCCAAATCCTTAGGATGCGTGGTCCCCATGAGTGACCCAAAAATGACGTTTGGACTAGACTTTCAACCTTTAGACTGCTCATTAATTGGGTTAGGCTTGGATCGTTAGATTATAAGTCTCCTGTCGATATTGGGTCCTTGTTTTTGATCTTGGCCTTTTGGACTCGTCAGGCTTATGGGCTATGGAGGCTCAAGCCTTGAATTTCACCCATATCAAACTCAAACAAGAGTTTGTGCAATGAGAAAAAACAAAAGTGTGGACAATATAAAAAATGAAAATGAAAAAAAAAACTCATCTATTAAAAATTATTTGAAAAATAAAGAAAGTAATTAGAAAGTCCTTAAAAAATAGTTACGAAATGGATTATTATTGCTCAAAGACTTAACAATATCCAAGCTTCCACTAAATGCATTGTTCTGGTACGAAACCTAACAATTGCAAGAGATTTTTATTTTGCTTGTAAAAAATGGAGAAGCTCTTCTAGACATGATCATGAAGATCCCCCATTGTAGAATGTGCGGTTTGAANATCAATATCCAAGCTTCCACTAAATGCATTGTTCTGGTACGAAACCTAACAATTGCAAGAGATTTTTATTTTGCTTGTAAAAAATGAGAAGCTCTTCTAGACATGATCATGAAGATCCCCCATTGTAGAATGTGCGGTTTGAATCATAACTACTAACCCGAAAGATAACCCATTACGACAACACCAAATCGCTTTGAGTCATAACTATTAACCCAAAAAGGTCACCAAAACACAACCAAAGCCAAATAACAAACCGTGGTACTCTCGTAAATCGAACCTTGCTTGTTAGCCACATGAGAATCAAAGACGATCCTAATCGGGTACGGCTTACCACTAAACTTCCAGCGGTGGTACAATTGCAAGAGATTAACATCACTGCATAGTGGCCAATTAACAAAATATGCATGCAAGAGATTAGCATCATTGGATCAGTAGATCAAGGGTATAACTGCATTGCAAAAGCAAGCTTTTGTATTTTGAAAAACTGAACAGAGTGTTGGTATAGATCATATTCCAATCTAGTGATTTGGGTGAAATATAATCAAACAAATTACTCGAGGAAATTACAGCAAAACATTGGATATGATTACAACAATTGCAGAGAAAATGAGCACTGATGACCTTGAACACCCAGCAAAAGTACTCATTCCAGATCCACTATCCCAAAATTGGAGAGGAGGATCTTAACTTGATCAACAAAATCTGAGCCTGTTGCATACTCCGTTAACATTCCGACAGCGAAACCAAACATTGCCCATCTGCACCACAACCAATAGTCCCAATACAGAAACAGGGAAAAATACCAGATTAACATAGCCAAATATAAAATATAAGAATAAAGTAAAGCAGAATCCGCGATAATTGCAGATCTCATGTAGTTAACACATGCAATCGTTACAGACTTTAGGGTAGAAGTAAAACGACATAAACACCAAATCTTTTTCAACACTACCAAGCACACATAATAAATACAGTACAATAGCATCCATTCAAGCATTCCTGCTTGAAACAAGGGGATTCTGAGAGACTATTTACTCCTTTGGTTTTCCATAGTTTTTCTTCTTTGGATTGTTGAGGGGTGGGGGATTGGAAAAGATAAGGTCTGAATAAAACACAATTTGTCAATACAAATGAATTCAAAAGATTTGTGATCAAATTGTACAATCCTTTGACAGTGTCAAAGAAAGACAATCATTCTAGCAATTCTTATCAATTGAACAAAGGACCAAATCAGTTTTTGGCTACTACAGAAAACTTAAAATTTATGGCTCCCAATTATACCTATTTTGGCACATATTCAAGTTTCCATGATACATTAGCTTTGGCCAAGAAATACTCAAAATCATATGATTTCTTTTTCTTTTTTTTTTTTTTTAATCATATGATTTCTTACTATCATGTGAAAGTAGTAAAATTCAGTTGCTCAAAATCCTTAATCTCCCAAACAAAGGGGGCCAGTATCTGGTGCACTCGAGCTGCCACGCATGAGGTTGCAAGGTTTGAATATGAAGGTGCAATAATATCACAGTACTCAAGTGGCACCCCTCTTCGCATCCTTGATTAACAAGTACCAAGCTGGACTAAAAATGTTTTTTGGCATGTTGAGGTTGGAGATTGGGTTCTTTCCTTTTTGTATTGCATCAAGAATGCTTTGCGGTTCATTTTAGAAATCCATTTCAGGGTGGGTTTAACAGGATTTTATGAAAGAGTAGTAGCTATCTTTATACAAGTTGCAAAGTTAAATTTTGTGGTTCTTGATATCTTTGATTAAGGTGAACAAACACTCAGACCCAATCAACCAAGCCAGATAGCCTGCGTCCATCCCTGCAGCTTCTACCACTACTACTACTACTACCAATTGTCATCTGCAACTATACTATAATGCACCATCCTCAATATCTCCATCTTTACAGGACATATCAGCCACCATAATCTCTCTCCTTCATGTATTTATATAAAAAGAGGTCGCATCTAACAAACAATGAACCCCCGCCTATAACAAATCTGATAGGGCTAAAAGGGTAAGTACCTTTACCCCCCTTTGGAAAGGATTAACTGACAGACCCACTTTCATACAAATCCGTAAATTTATCACAAAAGTCCATAAATTATCCTTAGAAATGAATAATAAAAAAAATCATTCTTGCACTGTTTATCGCTATGGACCACAAGAAACACAAATCTTCACTCAATTGTTCATGAAAAAACTAAATTAAGAAGTAATGAAGACATATGATTCACTGCACAGTTCTCTTTTCTTTTCCATAATTTCTTAGCTACCAAAGTGTACATAAAATTACAAAATTGGTATTTATCTAATCCAGTCAGTGTTGATAACAAGATTTGATTACTTTGTAAGTAAAATTCTTGCCCACTTCTCTCATAGTCAATTCATCAATTTCAAACCATAAATTCAGAGTCCTTCCTAGACCCAAAATCAATTTAAACATAATCAAGAAAGGACTAGTAGTTACTACATCTTTTACCTGCCATTGCCAATTTCATTCTTGCTAATGAAACCAAAGAAAGGACCCTTATCAGCTTCCTCAAGCTTCTTCTGCTTGAAGTACTCTTGAAGCTCCTTAGCCTTCTGTCTCTGAAACTCAAACGTTATTAAATTCTTATCCTCCACCATCGCCACCGGATTTGGCTTCTGGGGGGCAGATAGCGGCGAAGAAGACGACGGCGGTGAAGGTGGGACAGGTTTTGGAGGTGCTGGAGCCACTGGCCTTCTCAAAGGACCCTCAGTTTGTGAGCTCCTTATGGTAAGTATTGTCCTAAAGGTAGTGGATGATGACGAAGAAAAAAAAGAAGGTGAAGGAGATGATGGGTTTGGGAGTCTGATGCATTGGAATGAAGATGATGATGCCACAGACATAGTTGTCTGTCTACTTTCTCCAGTTTATCTATCTAGTTTCTCATGCTTTTCCTTGGATTTTGTTTGGAGGGGGAGGAAATGAAGTGGACGGTTGGTGTCTTTGTGTTATCAGAATCAGAGATGACAGTTGGGAACTTATTGTGTGGATGATATGTGACCAAGTTTCAATGGGAAAATGGCTCACTAACTTATATGTGGTCGGTCTTCTTTAAGAAATATTGTAGTGAATAGTAGTAGTAATGTGAAATTAGGGAAATGCTATATAGATATCAAATTTTTTACTTAAAAAATATTTTTATGAAATAAATTGACAGATCCAGATCATACTTGTTCTCATTAAATGCTAATCAAAATATTTTTTATTGGATACAAAGTTATCAATTCATCTTTTATTGGATGCGAAGTTATCCATTCATCTGGGGTAAAAATTTTGGTAAGCATAACATTATCTATCAAATTATACCTTATCAATAATAAGTTGTAATTATTAATGATTAATCATAATATTTTATAATTGATTACAAGTCATTAGTAACCTCAATCATTTATAATTTTACGTAATTTAACATTTAAAAATTATATTTTTTTTATAATCAATTACAAATTTTTATGATCAACCATGACGTCAATTGTAGCTTATTTTTAAAAATTTGTAAGTGCTTTTTGTACTTTATACCCTGAATGATTTCAAAATTTTTATATTATATCTTTAAAAATGAACTTTTATACATTACATTTTTAATATATCAAAATTATTGCAATGTGATACTTCTACTAACTTTTTTTTTTTTTTTATCAAAAGTCAACCCATTAAATATTAATGAAAAAACTAAAAGAAAAACTAACCAAAAAAATTATATTATAATACTTTTAATATATTAAATGTACAATATAAAAAATTTAATATTTAGGATAAAATGTCAAAAATTTAGTATTTGAAAGTAAAAAACAAAAATTTTTAGGTGCAAAGTACAATTCACATAATTTATAACATGATATGATCTTAAACCGTTATAAATTCCAGTGCTATAAAAGCCGACACACTTCTTATTTTCTATAATTTAAAATTACCGATCTTTACTCACTCGGGAATGTTTTCAGATAAGAAGGCTTTAGCAATGATGTGGACGCCTGTGTTAAAAGGCCAGTATAATTGGCTCCAGAAGCTAGAGGCTGATGTCCTCCTCAAAAACTTCATCCCAAAACGCATATCAGCAAAATACATGTCGTCAAGAATAAACCCTTCAAAGATCCTTGTGACCAAAGTGGCCTCACTAAACGCCCGCTAAGAATGGCGCAAATATTCGTACCAAAAAGTGCAAACAATAATAATAAAACTGAGCCTCAAATACCATATATGATAAATGTGAATCAAAACAATACCAGGAGAAGCCANATTAAACCCTTCAAAGATCCTTGTGACCAAAGTTGCCTCACTAAACGCCCGCTAAGAATGGCGCAAATATTCGTACCAAAAAGTGCAAACAATAATAATAAAACAGAGCCTCAAATACCATATATGATAAATGTGAATCAAAACAATACCAGGAGAAGCCAAGATTCATGACACTAATTTAACCCAAAATGAACAAAATAATAAAGCTGACACATTAATTTCATCAAACAATGAACAATAAGTCACCTTTTAAGAACATGAATATCAAAGGGAAACAAGAAAAAGCCCAGAGCAACAAAATTGCAATCCCAAGCCATGGAATATAGACACAACCAACCCGTCTGATGAAAGCCAGACCGGCATGCATCCTTGTGATCCCAGTATTTCATGCGGACTCAAATTTCAAATTGTTAAATCCAGTCTTTAGCCGATCAAGGGAAAGATGATGCGTGCGTGTCAAGTAATCAATCAATCACAGAATACCTCATTCACGGTCTTCTGAATTTTTAACAAAAATTGAGCCGCCATTATATTCCACCAAAGACTCAAAACTACATAATCCTGCATGCACAAGCCCTTTTACTCCCATCGTCAAATTCGTCATCTGATCCACCATCGTCACTGCAATAAAAAGGGGTGCATAATTAAAATACTAGACAANTGTCTGTCTACTTTCTCCAGTTTATCTATCTAGTTTCTCATGCTTTTCCTTGGATTTTGTTTGGAGGGGGAGGAAATGAAGTGGACGGTTGGTGTCTTTGTGTTATCAGAATCAGAGATGACAGTTGGGAACTTATTGTGTGGATGATATGTGACCAAGTTTCAATGGGAAAATGGCTCACTANATGGTCATTTTCAGACCACAAATAAGACCCAAATTTTGATGGAAAAAAAAATTACATCAGAAAATTATCAGTAAAATATTCAATGGAAAAGTGTGACCTATCAGTTGCTCATATNGTTGGTGTCTTTGTGTTATCAGAATCAGAGATGACAGTTGGGAACTTATTGTGTGGATGATATGTGACCAAGTTTCAATGGGAAAATGGCTCACTAACTTATATGTGGTCGGTCTTCTTTAAGAAATATTGTAGTGAATAGTAGTAGTAATGTGAAATTAGGGAAATGCTATATAGATATCAAATTTTTTACTTAAAAAATATTTTTATGAAATAAATTGACAGATCCAGATCATACTTGTTCTCATTAAATGCTAATCAAAATATTTTTTATTGGATACAAAGTTATCAATTCATCTTTTATTGGATGCGAAGTTATCCATTCATCTGGGGTAAAAATTTTGGTAAGCATAACATTATCTATCAAATTATACCTTATCAATAATAAGTTGTAATTATTAATGATTAATCATAATATTTTATAATTGATTACAAGTCATTAGTAACCTCAATCATTTATAATTTTACGTAATTTAACATTTAAAAATTATATTTTTTTTATAATCAATTACAAATTTTTATGATCAACCATGACGTCAATTGTAGCTTATTTTTAAAAATTTGTAAGTGCTTTTTGTACTTTATACCCTGAATGATTTCAAAATTTTTATATTATATCTTTAAAAATGAACTTTTATACATTACATTTTTAATATATCAAAATTATTGCAATGTGATACTTCTACTAACTTTTTTTTTTTTTTTATCAAAAGTCAACCCATTAAATATTAATGAAAAAACTAAAAGAAAAACTAACCAAAAAAATTATATTATAATACTTTTAATATATTAAATGTACAATATAAAAAATTTAATATTTAGGATAAAATGTCAAAAATTTAGTATTTGAAAGTAAAAAACAAAAATTTTTAGGTGCAAAGTACAATTCACATAATTTATAACATGATATGATCTTAAACCGTTATAAATTCCAGTGCTATAAAAGCCGACACACTTCTTATTTTCTATAATTTAAAATTACCGATCTTTACTCACTCGGGAATGTTTTCAGATAAGAAGGCTTTAGCAATGATGTGGACGCCTGTGTTAAAAGGCCAGTATAATTGGCTCCAGAAGCTAGAGGCTGATGTCCTCCTCAAAAACTTCATCCCAAAACGCATATCAGCAAAATACATGTCGTCAAGAATAAACCCTTCAAAGATCCTTGTGACCAAAGTGGCCTCACTAAACGCCCGCTAAGAATGGCGCAAATATTCGTACCAAAAAGTGCAAACAATAATAATAAAACTGAGCCTCAAATACCATATATGATAAATGTGAATCAAAACAATACCAGGAGAAGCCAAGATTCATGACACTAATTTAACCCAAAATGAACAAAATAATAAAGCTGACACATTAATTTCATCAAACAATGAACAATAAGTCACCTTTTAAGAACATAAATATCAAAGGGAAACAAGAAAAAGCCCAGAGCAACAAAATTGCAATCCCAAGCCATGGAATATAGACACAACCAACCCGTCTGATGAAAGCCAGACCGGCATGCATCCTTGTGATCCCAGTATTTCATGCGGACTCAAATTTCAAATTGTTAAATCCAGTCTTTAGCCGATCAAGGGAAAGATGATGCGTGCGTGTCAAGTAATCAATCAATCACAGAATACCTCATTCACGGTCTTCTGAATTTTTAACAAAAATTGAGCCGCCATTATATTCCACCAAAGACTCAAAACTACATAATCCTGCATGCACAAGCCCTTTTACTCCCATCGTCAAATTCGTCATCTGATCCACCATCGTCACTGCAATAAAAAGGGGTGCATAATTAAAATACTAGACATGGTCATTTTCAGACCACAAATAAGACCCAAATTTTGATGGAAAAAAAAATTACATCAGAAAATTATCAGTAAAATATTCAATGGAAAAGTGTGACCTATCAGTTGCTCATATTACTATTCCCAAGAAACTACAAATGATCACAACAAATCAGCTGTGAAAACCATCTCAAAAGATCATACGGCAGTGTGTTTAAATTAGCAATGCCCTTCAAATATGTTGCATGAAGGAAAAGAACAGTCATTAACCAGAATATCTCAGGTGTTCATAAGCTACATACATGGGACAAACACCAAACTACACTGCCACAGTATCAACAATGAATCAATGTTGATCATCACAGGAAACAGGGCAGCATATATAACTTAAAGGCTTAGATTAGAGAGGACACATCACAATCAAAAGCCGAGTAAATATCCAAAGGAATTTATTGCCAACAAGCACTGCAACTTGCATATGCTGAGTTATACTGCTGGAAATTAATTGTTTCTATTAGTTACGATTCACGAGAGAAGGAGAAATCTATTGCATGAGGTTCCATTCTCTTTGTTAACCTCTTTCACATGCAGAATATCTCATTCATATCATAATGAAACCCTCTCCAGGCAGATGGTGCCCACAGAATTTGTCCTAATTCCATCTCAAATCCCACAATCCACAACCCACAGCCGAAATTAAGTCTCTTATCTTTTGCTCAAACTATTGAAGCATGTGGTTTGCATTGGACCTCAACATTTATTCTTTGGAGAATCCAAATTAGAAGTCTATTTTTAGAAGATTAGGAAAGAAAGAAAATTTTTGGAAAAAAAAAAAACTGAAATTGGACAAGCGGACTTCAGAAATCCATAGGAGGGTCATGGCTTCACAGTCCTTATGTGAAGGTATTGACCCTAATGGCCACTATGCAAGTGAATCATAGTCCATTGCTCCTGCAACCAGTAACTGAATTAGAACCCTCCAATCATTTTACATAACAAGCTATCTACTGGTCAAGAACTATTTTACAGCCTCGTAGAAAAAATAATGCGCTATAAAGTATATGATCCAACTTGCTACAGTGAGGAGGGAGACAGAGAGAGAGAGAATCAATCCATTAAAAATTCAAAAAGTTGTGTTGGCTGTACAGATCAAAAACAGATACATAAAATCTTTGGCAAAACCAATTCACTACAGCAGTTTATGACAGTAAAAAGGGAGGAGGAGAATCCATCAGGAACTAAACCTAACACACTTCTGTAAAAATGAGACGGAATGCTTATTCATTTCTAAAACTTATGTTTACTCGTCAATAGTCTATGCAGAAACAGGTATATAAGTTGGCAGAGAAAAACTTGACCAACCAAACTTATTCATTACAGAAGGCACCACACCTCTACAAATAATGATACGATGACAATAAGTTGGCCAGAAACAATTTCTATTTTATGCAAAGGATGCATTAAAAAAATTAAGGCATTTTAGGAATTTCGCCGGGGCACACATTGGATATTTAAATAACCAAGTTTTGGGTTGACTTCTATCTTACTTAACATTAGGCCTAAGTTATACACGCCTACTAGAATTCAAGAGTTGCAATGATTTATATGTGCCTGCTGACAACTCCCTATGGCCCTACAATTCCTCCCAAAACTTCTCTTCAACAAAATTCAAATCTAGCTAGCCAACAGCCTTTAAAAATTATTCAAGGGACCTGTCCAAGTCACCGAAAACAGTCACCTAAACCTTTCTCTTCCATTGCCATCTAAAACCATCATTGACTTTAATCCATTCCTTAATCTTTGGCCTTCAGTTAATTCCAAAAACTCAAAGCACTTGTTGGACCTTCTAGCATGCTTTCCTAAATATGCTTACAACTTTCCACTTTTAGAACCGAGCAAATTCTCACCCTTTTTCCATTCCATCTATTAAGCTTACAATCATTCCTCTATACATTGCAAACCCTAAACTAGAAGCATTCTACAAATCTACTTTAGATGCATTATTTAAAGTTTCCGAAAGTTGTCCTAAGTCCTAACACGAGTCCCAATCCCTTTAGTTTTGAGGGGGCTTACGATTGAGATTGTGGGCCACAAAAGAAAATAAATTAGGTTTTACCCAAATTAACCCTTAATCCTGAAGCTGCTTTCCTGAGTGGCCTGACACAACACAAAGTAACGAACACATTCAAAATATTGTCCATGTCATCTTCCTAAACATTACTATCTAACTGTAAGAACGAACGAGATGTCTCCGACAAAAATAGTGGCAATGTCTAAGACGAAATCTAGTATGAAGTCCTCATACCTGGGCTCAAATTCCCGGATCTCTGTAAGCTCTCCCCCAGATGCATCTGTCCACTGCACTTTCCTCGTTCCAATATGACCAGGGACATCGTTATCCTTTTCAAATAATACCTCACATTCATTACCAGAAGCACCCAAAACTGGAATGATACTGGTTGGCTTCTTCAAGTTACTCTTAAGAGCAATCTTTTTCGTGCTATCGTCATTGCCCACAAGATCGGTGGAATGGATATGGTCCTTGCCCTTCTCAGAAACAGGAAACCCAGGCAAGGCACTCTGCTGTTGGGTAGGTCCCACTTTAAGAGTAGATTGGCTCTCAAGTCTTGCTGCAGGGCGACCAAAGCAAACAAAGGAGGCGCAACCGCGGACAAGCCGGTCCTTCCCAGAAGCCAGCTGGAGATCAGGATCGGATTCTTGGTCCACTAACTGGTATTGATTCCACGGAGATACTTTCATGGGTTTCTCTTCGTTCTTCTGACCCAAGAGAAGAAGGGTCAGGCCCTTGCTATACCCCGAAGCTGAAGAAGAGAAGAACCCTCCTCCTTCCACTGCCAATAGCATCAGTTCTGATCATCTGGACACCATAAACACTTTCTGTACAGTTTTCTTTATCTTCAGACAGCCTAAACAACCTGCCCCTTACCACCCATAAGAGTCAATCAGATAAGGCCTTCGAACCATAAGCAAAACTAAAACAAAACAAAACTAAAGGAACAAAGTATTGGCTTGGTTGTCAGAAGCCAAAATTCCAATTCTACCAAATGCTATTGATTGCACAACATTTAAGGAAGAAGAGAAAATGTTTCAAATAGTTTTCTTCTACAGCATTGTTGGGACTTTTCCAATTCTTTCTAAGATAAGTGCACCAGGCGATAATTTTACTGTACATTAGCTTGCTCCAACTCATTGAATTGCTCAAAAAGTGCCTATAAAAGAGCTTTCAAAATGAAAGCTCCAAATCTTGATTGAAAACGTGTTTTTTTTCAAACAAAAGAAATGAACAACGGGCTTTCTTACAGAGGGAGAAACCGAGCCATTACCAAGCAGATCAAAACATCATGCTCACATAATTTTGACACCACTTACAATATGCACACATACACATGTGAACTTCATAAAACCTTACTTTCCATTACTCCACCACTTAATTAACCCATATTAGAATCACGCTCACTTAATTCTGAGACCACAAGGCAAAATCTACACAGTGCGACAAAGATATTTAGAGAAAGAGACTCACAGATCTGATAGAGAGATCTCCGGCGACTCACTCTTCCCCGACACCTCACCGGACCGGCAATTCCATCTTCGATAGCCTCAAAAAGCTTCAAAACACAGAAAAATGTCGATTACAGGAAGGCCTCTAATATAAATATCAGCGAGAAATCGCAGAGTGAAAAGATCGGAAATAATTTTCTAACAAACTACAAAATGCGAAAGAAAAAAGATGAATTATTATATTTGAAGAGAGGGACAGGGATAGTGACTCAGTGGCGCATGATAGCGACGGGCCCCGTTTTAATTTTTGTAATGCTTTTATTTTACTTTTGAAAAATTATACTTTGACCTCCTCAACTATAACCCTTTTTTCATATTTTTCACTAAATTATCATATTTCCCACTTAACACCTTTAACTATGCGATTTGTTTTACATCCCTCCAATTATTAGCATTCATTATCAATTTGACTGAAAATTACTTCATTTTATCCCTAAAATTATGTAAATTTTTTTAAATTTCCTAGACAAGTTGGCAATTTTAGTCTAAAAAAAATGAACGTTTGCATCTATGACGGTCTATAATATAAAACAAAGATAGATTTTAATAAATATGATCTCAAATAGATTTATACAACAACTACCAACATATTTTTTAAAATCATTCACATTGAATTTCTCTTCCCTCCTCCAAATCCATCACTCCTCATTTACGTTGTTGCACCGTGTCTTTAAACACAAATTAATATAAAATAATTCAAGTAATTAAAGAGATGATGTGATAAACTCAATAGTTTAAAGAATAAAATAAAATAGATTTCATAGTTAGAAAGATCAAAATATAATTTGTCATATATTTTATTTTCTCTCTCCCTGTGTGTGTGTGTGTGTGTGTGTGTTTTTTTTTTTTTTTAAAGTTCCTCACTCACTCTCGTCACTTTTAATAGCTTTTAGGAAAGCTTGCCTTTGTTTGTTTGTTTACATATGGGTACGGCTACTTTAACTTTTATTATCTTTTACTTTAATAATAAGTATTAGAATAATATTTTTTTATTCACATGGATCTCAATATCAAAATTTTTATTAGGAGTGGTATATGATGCAGTACTTGATACGTCATTGATTTGTGCCCTGTCATCCTAACCGTACACGTGGAATTATGTCATCGTGTGGAACATTGGGATTGGGACAAAAGTCATGCCAATGGCAAGGACAATGAAGGGTGAACAAAAAACTGGCCTTGACCTTAAAAATTGATCTTAATTAACGTTGATAATATCAGCTCGTGTAATATTAAAATTGGATTAGTATTTTTTCAACGTATTTTGTAATAAAACTACTGATAACTTTGTGACGGAAGCCACTCTGTGATTATAAAAATAGAATATTGATTGGGTAATATTTATATTTTAAATAATAATTATTTATTTTTTTAATTACGTAATTTAAAATTAAAATAAACATGTAAAAAATAAAAGAGGGATAGGAAACAAAAATAAAGAGGTAACTATGAATTAATAATGTTGAGTGTATAAATTGAGTTTGTTTGTCATTAATGTTCTGTTTAGGAAGAATGATAAAAACTATCAGAGGTATGAAAAATAGGAGGAGTACACTTTTTATCCTTTGATAAAATGGATGGAAAATAAAAATGAATAATTTTATTTTTTTTGCTTAGTAAGATGGAACAAATATTTTTTTTATTTTTTATTTTAAAAGTTTTAATTTTTTTAAAAAATATATAAATACATATTTTATTATTATATTTATATATAAAATTAATGTATACATGTATATGTATATATCAAAAGATATGTAAACAAATAAGATACATTTTAACACAAATAATTAATTTTTCATCCACTTTTATTCTAATTTTGGAATGATTAATTTTGGTGAGTTAGAAAAAAAGGTCAGTTATCCACTTTTTCATCCTTCCTATTTTCTTTTTTTATCAAATATGATGTTTTATCCTTCAACTTTCTATCTTTTCAATTTTTCATCCTTCCATTTTTTTCATCATACTAAATGGAGTATAGAAGTTGTATAGAGAAAATGATATTTTTAAGTGGAAAAAAAAATTTGGGGATGAATTTTATATCATTACATCAAAATAGATGAAAGTTTAATTAATTTTACCGTTTTTATATATTATAACTTGTGTGATTCAAGTTGCTAACTGCCATATTCTATAGATCAATAATAATTGTAGGTCTGAAAATATTTTGTAATACCAAAAATCGAACATTGATCTTTATAACATTTAAATTTTTTTTTTTAATCATGCAATTTAAAACTAAACAAATAAAAATAAAATAAGAAAGATGTATGGGAGATAGCAGAGAGGTATAGGTGTTAATTGATTGGGTTTTTTTATCATTGGGGGTTGTACAATAAAAATAATATTTTTGAGTGCTAAAAAAAAATTAGAATAAATTTTGTACTATTAGATTAAAAGTAGATAAAAATTGGATTAATCGTAATCATTATTGTACTTTTATAAATTAAGATTTCAACTTTATAACTCTAATATTAGATAGATGTTTATCATGGGTAGAATTTATTTAAATGAATCTAAATTCATTTACACTCCTCAAAGTTTTAACCGCTTTTTTTTTCTCTCGATATGCAACGTATTATATTAGCTCGTATATGAATGGATTTAAAGAGGAAAGATTGTTCTTATGAGATTTAAAGAATTTCTAAAATTTTCATAATATTTATAAAATAATTTTCACAATAAAAAATTACTATTTCATATAATATGATCAAATTTTTAAACATTTAAATCTTACGTTTTAGCATACTTTCGATACGAGTTATGAGTAATATATATATATATATACACCAAGTCTTCCCAATCCTAAAAGCTAAGTCTTTATTATGTCTAGTGAAGAGTTTGCGTATGACTTTAGGTCTCTAGAAGAGGTTGGCATGTAAAATCAACTAAATAAAGCCATTTTAGGCGTTAAAGTCAGAAGTCGGAAGTACACTTTTAATCTAAAAAAAACTTGGTTGGAGATATTGTGATGTCTTTTTTTTTTTTTGGTAAAACGGGTTTTGTCTTTCGGCACTAGGAGGGTAGCATTAGAGTGGTAGACAGGGAGGGGCTGAGAACATGCAATCAACTCTGAATAATTGACCCTACAAGATTCCACCCTTTAGAAAGAGAGACCCCTCTCAACTAAGGAAAAGACTACGGGGGTATCGTACTATTAAATTTTTTATCTGTGTAGAGTTGATTGATGGTGATTCACGAAGAAGCATTGAAAGCAAAAGGCGGGGGAAGAAAAAACTTGGACCCTTTCCTTGATAGCCATGGCACTTCTTCTACTGATTCCTTGATAGTCATGGCACCAGCAACCACTTGAAAAGTGAAAACTCTTTGCTTTTAGGATTTTGTTTAGGCCACCCAAGGGCGTAGGTAGGGGTGCAACCCAAATAATAAAATTTCGAATGTGGCTTTATTTTATTATCCAATTAAATATAGCACATAATTTTTTTCAATCACTAATGATGTCATTCTCACTAAAATCAACGATTATAAATTAATATAGATATTGTACTTTGTGATACCATAGTCATATTCTATCTAGTCATAAACGAGAGTCAAAAACACCAACACTAGCTAGGGGTAGGGTAGGGTAGGGTAGGGTAGGGTAGGGTAGGGGGGGTGGGATTCTTAATTGAACATGATTCCGTGTGAAATCAAATTCAATTTTTTTTAAGTTATTATTATCATACGACTTAATAATCAATGAGTGAAGTCCAAAATTATCAAATAGATATTAGTGAACAGAGGAGGAGGAGAAAAATAGGTGTGACCTCCATCACTCCATGAAAACATGTACTAAGGAATTGTGACCAAGCTCTATTAAAGTCTGGACCAAGATATAGATCCCCTCAAAACTCATGCCATCTTTCCAAAGACCTCTAACTAAAATTCAATTGGCAAACATCCATCAAGTCAAGTTTCAAAAATCTACCATGAAGAATCTTGTTTCCAATCACATGTGCAACAATTTGGCACTTTAGGAATCAATCCATTTTCCAAAATGTCACCCATACCCCAATCCAAACAACCCTTTATAGCTCTGAAATAGAGCATAAATTTTTGAAAACGATTGAAATGTAATAAACACTGCAATCAATATAGTTGAATAAAAAATGAGATAGACTCTCACAAAAACATAAAAATTAATTGAAGGTAAATTGTAAGCATTTTCACGTCCAAATTAAGATGATAGAATCAAAATTCATAAATATGAAGAATAAGGTCAATTGCATAAAGTCTTAACACAAAAAAAAAAAAAAAAAAGACCAAACAATTGAGTAAAAAAGTGATATGGTGGATATAAGTAATATATATTTACATAATACTCAAAATATATGAAAAAATAAAAAATAAATATATATATATAATAATAATTTGCAAAAAAAATGAGTGTATGGCTCCACCATTGAGGTTATTTGACAAAATATTAGAGCTATTTTAAAAATAATAATTTATTCGAACCGATTTAATTTTACTTGAGCAATAACAGATTACCTGGAGTAAGCTTGTTTTCAAAACAAGCTTAAAATTTGATTAGATTCAATTCATTTATAGTTTAATCAAACTTGACTGAATTAGAAATCAAGTCAATTTCGAACGATATTCAAACTACTAGTTGGATCGTTTATAATAGTTGCAAGGAATATGGTCCAGGTACATCCAATGAGAAGGCCCAAGAGATGAAAGACTCATACCAATTTCAATAAAAAGATAAAAGAGATTAGACAAATTGTAAATTTAAATATCTTAAATTCGAATTTTGATAATGTTTTTGTGGTTAGACTATGAAAAAATTATTTTTAATGAATACCCTAATCTCAACGTGAATAATCTGTCTTTGACCGCATCGAAAAAATAATTACTTAAAAAATACGTAAATTAATCAGCACAACCTAATCGTTGAAAAAAAACGAAAAAAACATAAAAAGGCAATCAAACCCTTCGTTGCCTATGATTGTAGTAACTTGTACACTGTCGAAGAGTGTAGAGCCTTTTTACGTGAAGTCAGGGATTACTACTGTTAGCCAAAGAGTGCACCCAAAAGAAATTACTGTTTGGCATTGCTGCACCAACTTGCAGTAGGTACGATTTGGCCATCAGAAGTAGCTTGTAGTTTCCAAAGAAGCCATTAATGTGCT